CTGCTTCATGTGTTTCTGTAATAACACATATGGATATGTGTGCATGAATGAGTATAATTTGTATACTAAAAAAACTAAATAAACTACTCAATTATATATGATCTTTTGAAATAAGACCAGATATCAAATTTAGAGTACTACCAGACTGCTGAGTTTAAAGCATTTAATAATATTTACATTTAATGGTATTCCATATAAAAATCAAAATGCTGTACTGAAAACTCCTTGCCTGGATTCATGCCCATGATGTTGTGGACCTAACATCATGCAATAACTCCTCACTCTGATGGCAATCTATTGTGAAGCACTCAAGAACTAAAATTCCAGTTGAACTGTCGTTTTCTGTAAGGGTAGAGATTCAAGGAAGTGGTATTTCATCAACTTTACAGTATACTACAAATATTTCCCTTGAAGCAACAATTTTTCCTAACCTCCTGCAGAAACCCCTAGCTATGACATTGTTTTCAGGTGCTGTAGTTTTGGAAAGAGTTTTCATGCCTCAGAAACAAAAGAGCATACGGGTAGGGAAGATTAAGAGACTCTAGGAATATTATACAAAGGTCAATAACGACTCTACCTGTGGCGACATCAATTCAGTGCTTAAGGAGAAGTAACTGTGACCCTCGGTGTTTGAATTTCAACACCAATAACAAAAGGAAGATATTATTACACCAACCTGGTAAGACTGTTGTGAGCATTTAGTGCCTGAAATAGTCAGGACCCTGCCTGGCTTATACTTAGCTAATATTACCAACAAAAGGAAACAGATTTTAAACTGACACATTATGCAAGTCTTTTAAATCTATTGTAATTACTGATTATCCAGTTAGCCCCACAGAGAAATATCTCCCTAATGGGGGAAAAAAAAAAGGCATTTAAAGCCACTCAGTCCCTAAATTCCCTATTCCCTGTCTGCTACCTACTACCACCGATGCGAGATCAGGAGCCCTTCCTCTTTAATCCCATGGTACATCTCCGTTAGAGCATTCTACCAGGATGTTTTCGTTGTTGGTGCACTGTCTTCCCCACCAAGGCTTCTGCGAACTCCTTAAAGCCAGCCACTATGTCTTGTGCATCTCAGCACCTCCACGACACCTGTTCTCACACATAATAGAAGCTCAATAAAGGTGTGTTAGATTAACAAACGTGATACTGTAGGAAATGGATATATATGCATATGTGTGAAAAACATCAACCAGTTCAGGGTCTGTGTTCTGTGGACTGCAATGTCCTTGCTCTCTGATGTTTCAGGAAGGTAGGCAGCCAAGGCACCTCAGCTGGGACCAAGAAAGAAAAAAGGAATCATTCAAGAAATACCTAAGGGGCCCTCTGTTAGTTTCAGGCAACAAACCAGGCTCTAGGGTTATAAAGACCACATCTCTATCTGTAAAGAGCTCGCAGCCCTGTAGGCACCTAGCCAGTAAGGATCTCACCCCCCACCAGGGAGCAAAGATATTAAAGTTAAAGCCAGATTAAGCCATGCGACTCCCAGGTCTAAACTGCAGTGCTCTTTCCACTAGAACAATGCCTTTCAAATGTTGAGAGGGCTCACAGTAAAAAATACATTCTGTAGCACTCCCCAGTACAGATACACACACTTCTGATTTTTTCATCTTCACTCTATTCTATTTCACTTTTTTTTAAATGTTCAGCCTGACACACTAAATTGGCTTATGACTCAAAGGTGGAAAAATACTGCTCTAGGAGATATATTCTTAAAGCTTTCTCTAGAATTTCAACATCAGATATAATTCCTAATAGTTTTTCTCACACAATGAATTTGTACCCCAGCAAAAAAAGTAAAATACTATCAGAGAATCAAATAACCTTCAAAGACCAACAGAGTCCTGACAGCTGCCGCTTGGGGAATGAGAGGAAGCTAAACCTATCTCTGTCAGCTTTCCCTAAGGCCACCAATCTAAGGCAGAGAGCATTTGCTAGGCAAAAACAACCTGGTGGCAAGCCTCTCGACACCCCAGCTCCCTTCCAGTCACACTATGGCCGAAAAGACTCTTAGCCTTTATCGAAATTCTGGAGCTTCCACTTACAATGAATTTTTTCAAATGATTTTGTGTAAGAGACTTTAATTAAATGTGTTTGGATAGGGACCAATAAATTTATTAAGGTAAGTGAATGAAAATCAAAATGAACTATTTTAAAAACATTTTGTTCAAAAAAAAATCTCTCAGGGCGCCTGGGTGGCTTAGTCGGTTAAGCATCTGCCTTCGGCTCAGGTCATGATCCCAGGGTCCTGGGATCGAGCCCCACATGGGGCTCCCTGCTCAGCGGGGAGCCTGCTTCTCCCTCTGCCTGCCACTCTGCCTACCTGTGCGCTCTCTCTCTCTCTCTCTCTGTTAAATAAATAAATAAAAATCTTTAAATTAAAAAAAAAAATCTCTCTCTGAAATATGCCAGTCTTCAATTGAGGGGAGAGAAGCGTAATGATCTATCCCAGATCTGAATAAACCATGCAGAAACGGATCATTAGTTAAGTTAGGACCTCTTCTGGTTTGCTCTTGAAATCTTAGGGCAAAGGCAGCACACAAATTTTCCTCAACATGAGATGTGCGTACAGCACTTTCCATGAAAGGAAATGTGGTAGTAGCAATCATCACTACCTAGTATAGCAAGCTAGGGATGAAAACCCCAATGTCCCCAGAGTTCTTTCAAGAAATGTGTTCCCCTGGAAAGTCACAAACAGGCAGAAAGACCAGAAAAGCCCTTTCTCCGTGTTCTGTGTCCATAGGCAGTACTCCAGCTCTGAAAACACAAACTAAGTACGAGAATGTTCATTTAAGGTCTTGGGCTGACTAGCCTCACCATTCGCCATCCAAGAAGCAAGTCTGAGTTTAAAGGACTCATTTTTGTGTCATTTGCCTCAAATTAAAAGACAATTTTATAAAACTTAATATATCTTCCTAGGTCTTCCCAAGAGAAACGTGTTTAGAGCTGTGTTTAGAAAAATAGCCTTTCTATAGAAATAAAATGTATTTTCCTATGAAAAAGGAGAAAGGCACACTATTTATCAGATTTGCCCAAGAGAACTTTCTGTGGTGATGCAAGCGGTGAGTGTCTGTGCTCTGTGGTACAGTAGCCACTAGCCACCCAGTGCTGAGCACTTGCAAGGTGCCTGGTGTGACTGAGAAAGTGTATTTTAAATTTTATTTCATTTTAATTAATTTAAATTAAAACAGCCACATTCGGCTAAGTACCTACCACATGGGGTACTGTAGGTTAGAGAATCAACGTAAGCAGCAGAGCTGGCTAACTGGTCTTAGACTAAATATCACAATTTGAAAAAATGATATTCAATACCAATATTCAATTTTCAGCTTCCCAATTAACATTTACTTAATTAATATTTAAGTTTTCCTTAGAAGTGGTTTTTCAACAGTTTGGCAGTTTTTATTCCAAAACATGAACATCCCAGATCTGCTGAGCAGAATTCCTTTGGCAATGTTCAATTTTCCATCTGTGAAACTTAAACACAGGGGAAGGAAAAAACTGAAACCCACCTTCCTCTTGATACAAAGGGAAGAAATGGAGCACATACTCCAGACCAAAGGCTAATATAACCTCCTAGACTCACGGGTACATCTGCTCATCAGCCCCTGCTTGTGTTGCTTCTTTAACCCAGTTGTGGCTTTCCACGAAAGTCATTTCTACATTTGTTTGACCTCTGGATTGCGTTCCCTTGCCATCAGGCCAGGACCAGACCCTCTCAAAGTATTCCACCTATAGGAAAACCATTTAAAACATAAACACTAAAATGTTCTCTATTTAAATGGTCAGAATGCAGTAGCCTGAAGAGAACAGATGCTTCAGAAAGACTAAAATATGCAGATCACGCCAAGACCACTTTCCAAGCAGGTGGCAAAAGAAACTGCGAAGTTCCATAGTCAGCAAGGGAAAGACAACGCAAGAAAATATGCTCAGAAATGCGTTGCGGCCATGCTGTGGCCAAAGGATAACTAACTTTTAAGTGGGCAGGAAAGAAGAAGACAGAATTTAAAATGGGGAACTGCCGTGCTGTTTGACCCTGAGAGTATCCTCATACCCTCCTCATTCTTCCAAGCTCTGAACTAGACTCCACTGACCGCAGCATCTGCGGCATGAGCTCTAAGGAAGCCATCAATTATAAAATTCTATGATAAAAGCCTCAATGTCTAAGACAAGTACTAGAACCTCAATGCTTTTTTTTCATCATCCCAATTCTTAGGGGGAAAAAAGTCAAATAAATGTAATAAACAAGACAGAATTTTCACAGCAGAGGCCCAAGTTCTCAAAGCACAGAAAGCTTATAAACAGAAAATAAAAACAAACACTACTTCTCATTTAGTGCTTTAAAAGTCCGCTTCAGAATAGCATTACTCCTGGCTCCCCAAAATGCAATTTAAAGGCAGAAATATAAATCTACTTAAAGACACCCAGAATATAAATTAACAAAGATAAAACTTAATTCTTACATTTAAGAGTCTAATGGTGATTTATGAGATTCAAATATAGATTCTAGTAAACAAAAGAAACATACGTAACAGAAAAGAAAGCCATGTTTTGCTTGGCTCAAAGTGTTAACACAGTACAATACCACATTAAATGAAAAAACTTTTATTAAACTATCTTAGCACAAACATGGCTCAGTCCTTCTTCTAAATTCCTAATGTATTTATGGGCTAAATATGTTATTTCATTTTATAAGCCCTCAGGTCCTATATAACCCACGCCTATTCCTCTAGGTGAATATCAAGCACATTAAAGTCATTATTTAAGAAATTTATCAGTATATGACTATGAAATTATACATCTGAAAATATCATCCTTCCTAAATTGGGATTCTGAAAAAAACTCAAAAGGATTGTTTTCTGTTTTTTTTCAGGAGCCAAAGCAGCAAAGCACCTTCAACCCAAAGTGTAATATATATTTAATCATGGCTCCTGACTTACAAGCATAACATTACAAATTGTTTCATACGCGTTAAACAAAAGTGCTCACACTCTTACCTGTATATCCAGCGTACCATCCCCAAGAAGCCACCATTCCTAAAAGCCATTTATACATGATTCCTTCAATATACCAGAACTGCTTACTGTCCAGCAGTCGAAGGGGCTGAAGTATAATTACATAGCAGATGTAGGATGAAATAGCAACCAGGTTGTTGGCGACCATGAAGGCAAACCTCATCAGGGCTTTCACCACGATCCAGCCCAGCCACGGAGCCTCTTCCAAAGTCACAGCCATGCTCACATGGGCGTCCGTCCTGTCTTTCTGAGGTGAAAGAAAAACTCATTTAAAAAGGAAAATGGATTACACACATCCAGATAGTCACCAACATAGAAATCGCCTCCAGCACAAAAACACCAGAAAAACCGAGAGGGTCTAAGCTTTCCCGGTGTAGTACCTCGGTGATCTCTCCGGGAAATTCCAGAGGGGGACAGAGAGCGAGGGAGGAGGAGCCGCACAAGGTCAAGGGAGCTGTTCACAGAGGCACAGGGTATGTCATAATATATTTAGCAAATGAAAATACTATTCCCACTAACTAATCAGCGGCTGTCCCCGCACCGCGCCTCACTGCAGTCGGCTGTGTGGACTTTTCAGGAAGAAAAACAGAGCCACTCGCTTCAGACACCCTCAGTCTCTCCAAACTGACGACACGAGTGAAAGAAGGCTGTTGCAGGGACCCAATCCCATTTCCCAGCTATGAGAACCTGGGTACCCGCACCACCACCATTCCTGCACATCGATCGTGCCTTAGAAAGATCTCTCGCCTTAGCAAAAAGAGTTACGCTAACGGGGTTCATTAGCGGCAAAGGGGTTTTTGTCTCCCCCCACACCTTTTTTTAGGGGAAAAAGGAGAGGGGCCTAGAAAAGAGGGCAGAAAGGTGAGAGGAAGAAAGTGGGGGCAAACACGGCGAGAGGAGGAAGGACGGGAGTAGGGGGAGGGGAGCAAAAGCCAGAAGGAGGTGAAGGCACCGGGGCCACGGATGAAGAGAATGAAGTCCCCGAGCAGAGCGCAGGCGAGCGAGGGGTGATGGAAGAAGCGCGGAGGAAGAGGCGACGGCAGCGCTCGGGGGGGCGCCCGCAGCGGTTTCCGCGGCGCGGGCGAAGGGGTCGCGGCGGCGGCGGG